GGTCCCGGCGGGGCGCGCTGCCCGGCTGTGGGAGCGGAGCGCCGGTCGCTCAGGCCTGTCAGCCTGCAGAGCTCGCTTGTGAGCGGGGTGCGGGTGTGTAGAGGAGAAAAAAAAAAAGGAAGCTCTTGTCTAATGCGTTGTCCTACGGTTTGTGAGGGACCTATCAGTAACTTTTTAAAGGTACTTTCCTACCCGTTACTTAGTGACATCGCTCACTATCCCACTGTGCCTCGGCACTTGTCGGATCACACCTTCAATATTGTGTTCACTTCTGGTCCCCACTGTATAAAAAGATCTGGACGGGCTGGAGAGGGTGCAGAGAAGGGCCACGAAGGTGATCAAAGGGCTGGGCAGCCCGCTGGGGGAGGAAAGGCTGCAGGAACTGGGTTTGTTCAGCCTGGAGAAAAAAAGGCTCAGGGGAGATCTCATCACCATGTTCCAGTGACTGAAGGGTGGCTACAAAGAAAATGGAGACTTTTTTTACAAGGAGTCACATGGATGAGATGAGGGATAATGGGTACAAGTTAGTCTTGGGGAGATTTTGATTTGAGACAAGGAAAATTTTTCACAATGAGAACAATCTTTCATTGGAAAAATCTCCCCAGGTAAGCGGTGGATTCACTGCTAGTCTGTCTTTGCCTCTTACAGTTTTACAAAAATTCAAAGCAATGCATCACCTATTGTAGTTCTCAACACCCCTTAATATAAGATCTTTCTTGTCTTTAAATCAGGCCCAGCAGTGACGTAACTTGCTCCCACAGTGCTTGTGCTGTGTGGTTTATTGTGTGGCTTTTGGGGAGAAGGACACGTACCATGAGATGACGCTGTGGTTACCTCTTTTCTGTTTTGTAGATGAGTCGGGGGATGCAATTCCAGAGCATAACGAGTTCCTTTTTCCAGAATATGAAATTTTGATAGAGCCTGAGGAACCAGAATTTGCTGCTGACAGCAGTGCAGATCTTGGTAATGAACAAGGAGATGTAGATACATCAAAGGACTCAAAAGAACCAGGGGAACTCAGAGCTACAGTCAGTGCAGGTAAGACACTGCCTGTTCTTCTTCTTAATAAAGCCTGTATTACAACTTTAAAATATAAAATACTGTGGTTTTTAAGTGTTCATTGTTAACTGCTGGTGATAAAAGGCTAAATCAACATTTTTTATGCAAGTTTTTTGTATACATCCTGTGCCATAAGTTGCTTTTAAGGGAGAGATGAACTAAGCCCCAACCAACCCTGTGCGCTGTTGAAGTCAGTGAGGAGAACGGGGCTCTGAGCATCTATCTGCTGCTAGACACTGTTGAAATGAGGAGATTGAGTCAGAGGGTCTCGGCCAGACTTGGTTCAATTTGTCTTAGTTTATGGAAAATAGTTAACAAATTTCCTTGTCTATGCTTGAAGAAAACTGTTTGGAGGCTACTGTAAATGACTTGGAATTAAGCAGTTGAAGGGCAGGCTGTTTCCTTTTCCTCCCCCTCTCCAAAGTCACAGTGTGTTTGCAGCTCCCCAACACCAGCTTTGCACACACCCAGGGTGGAGAGTTGATGGTATACAAAAGGCTGCTGGGGTTCCCAGCTGGCCTTTACTGTGGTTTAAAGCTGTTTTGAGACATATTAGTGTCCCATATTGATGTGAACATGGGAGCATAACAGGCACAATACTTCAGTGCTAGAAACTGAAATCTGACACATGCATGGCATGGGTGGTCTTTTCCAGATGTCATGTTCTGAAGACTCAGCAGTCTCAATGATCCCTGCTGGGAGCCATAAACTTTGGTAGATTAGCCCCTTTCCAGCCTTCCAGTACTGACATCTGTGTTTAAACCGCTACTAAAACTAGAAAACAAATCTGTGTGTGACTGAATCTTAAGATATATAAAATGGTGAAAAAAAAAATTAATTATAGTGATTTATACTGAGAATGATTCTTGGAAGCAAAATGCACGTCTAGGTACAATATTTATTCTAATTTTTGGCTGTCTTGCATTAGCCTGTAACCTTTGGTTTTCTGGTTGGGTTCTTTTCTTGCTTAGGTGAAGCACTTCAGTCCTTAGATGAAGAGACATTGGAAGCAATGGCAAAACATGAGACTGAAGAAGACAAGATCTTCCAGATGTTCAAAGAGCGAGTAGCGAGCAGGTCAGAAGATGGGACAGCCTTTGAACTTGCAGGTTCTGGCACAGCATCCTGCTGCACCTGCAAAATGTGTCACTGCCTTTTGTACCTACAGTTAGAAATGGTAATGAGGATGCCTTCTCATCCTCCACACACCTTAACCAACGTACCCTAACCTTTCTTAGGCTGAAAGAACTTGAGTCATGTTGAAGTAAAAATTTCGCACCTGCCCATCTCTCTTGCAACGGAATAGGCCAGGATGAGAAGGCACGGGGATACCGAAGCCAATATGGGTGTAGGACCTGCCATCCTGCGAAGTGGTTCTGACCAAAGGAGATGGTGAACTATGCCTCTCTTCCCCAGCCTTTGGCCCTTGTTGGCTTTCCTTCTCAGCAGAACCAAAACTTCACTGAGTTCTGTCAGTCACGAGCTGCATGAAGAAAGTTGGTTTGGCTTTTTTTAAGGTTGAAGAAATTAGTGATGCCTTTAGTTGAAATTTTTCAACCATTTAAAACAAACATCTTGGCCAATGATATTTCTTGCTCACGCAAGAGGCTGAAAAAACCCACACTTCCATTCAGAGGAAACACAGGCCCAAATCCATGAAAGTGGAGGAAGAAGAAATTCTTTCCATGTTTTACCTGTTAGCTGAGGGGCGAGAGTGCACATCCATAAACCTTGAGACTTGTGAGTCTGATCCCTCCTCTGCTTGGGGGAGGCACATCACCTCCCCCTCTGACCATCCCCAGACTGACTGATCTGTATAAACATCCTCTTGTTGATAATGCCTGATTTGGTACCTAAATATTTAGATAGTAACAGAACAAGAAATTATATGAATTAATTAAAGGAACTGTCCACTTTCATTTAGATGCAGAACTGCAAATGGAAGAGCTGAGTTGTATTCCTGACTTTTCTGTAGACTTCTGTGTGTTAATTATCAATCTGCTTTTCCTCCAGCTCAAGACTGTAATACCTGACCTAGCACTTCTGGGTCCCTTAATTAGAGAAATATAAATGCAGTTTATCTCTGGATCATTGAAAAACTGCTGTATGAATACTTTCATGATTCTAATCGCTAAGAAAACTGACGTAAAGAACTTGTCTTATTTAGAATACTGTATCTGCAACTGATAAGACTTTGCCATGGGTAATACTTATAAAGGAACTTTTTTTCTGCACCATCTTACTGCTTTGTCTTTGTCAGTAAATACCAATTATATACCAAGATGAAAAGACTGTCCTGATAACTTAAACTTCTTCACTATTTCAGATTATTAGATACTGCAGAGGAGGCAAAGGACCAATCTGGGTATCAGGTGAAAATATTCCTGAAGAAAAAGATATCCCAAATTGTTTATGTGGTGCCAAAAGGATTTTTGAATTCCAGGTATGTAAATTTATTTAATTATAATATAGGTAATGTAGTTCAGATTAACAGGCTCTATTTGTATAGCTGTTGGCTTGTAATTAGAATCATAGCATGGTTTGGGTTGGAAGGGACTGTAAATATCGTCTAGTTCCAACATGTCCCACTAGACCACATTTCTCAAAGCCCCATCCAACCTCACCTAGAACACTTCCAGGGAAATGTTAAGAGCTAGGTAGCTGAAGTTGCTACAAACTAACTATGCTACATTGTACAGAGCCCTTATTTACTATGTTAACTGCTGTTTTCTTTGCAACTTTGACATATAGGTAGGCTCCCATATGGTAACTGGCAAAGTTCAGAAAATAGTGCACTGCGGAATATGGAACCACCTCTTAAATAAAAGGAGTCTGGTGTTGTGTATATTATAAAAACCCCTTCACAATGTGAATTTAAAATATGATTGCCTGGAAGTATTCAGCTGCAGACTTTTGAATGCTAGAAGCACATGTATAGTGTGCACTGATTATCATGCAAAAGCAAAACATCATTGTGAAGGCAATTTCTATTAGAAGGCAGCTTACAAATTAGGCAATGCTTAGTTAAGTAAAACTTCTGTAGATTCCCTGTGCATCTACTATACTGTTGTAGGAATTCCAAATGAGCTTCTGTGTTAGTAGATTTCGTTAGGATTTTGGTGTGAGAGAACATAAATGAAGACAGGACCCTTCTTGGGGAAGAGACTCAGAGTGAGGGCAGAGAGCTGTGGCCTGTCTCTAAACCTTTGTTTTTCCTTGAAGATTATGCCACAGCTCCTGAACCACCTTCAGGTTGACAGCCTTGGAGAGAGCATTGACTGGGGAACACTGGTGGTGTACACTTGTGCTGACAACTGCGGTGACGGGAGTGAATATCTGGAAGAGTTCATATGGAAACAAGACTTCTCTGCAGGCTCTATTTAACTTCCATCAAGTTACTAAGGTGAATCATCTAAATAGATAGCTTGCCTTATTTCTGTGCATCTGCACTTGGCAAACAGATCATTGAACTGGCCACTGACTCTAGACCCTGACAGCCTCTCTTGTGCTCCATGAGAGCTTTTACTTCAACCTGATCATGAAGCCAGATGCAATTGTTCAGTGAATTGCACTTCAAATCTACATTTTGAAAGTTTTAAAATAAAGTTTAAATATTTTTTGATTGGTGAAAGTATTTTTTTTTGGCTACTGAACTCCAAGAACTTAAGATTGTTGTCTGACAGGATTTTCTTTGTGCTAGTCAAAAATTACCATTCATTCACAGAGAAAAGCTGACTGCTGTAACCACTCAAGTGCTTATGCTCAACAGGTGTATGGAAGTCACAGATAAGACAAAGCTGCTTAGCCTTTCCCTTTGGAACTTAAATCTACTTCCCTTTCTCCAAAGGTACACTGAATATAACTTTGTAGTTGTTACATATTCTGATTGAGTGTCTAATTAAAAATAAAATGCAAAAAAATTGTTTTATCTAATTTAAAACTATTAACCGAGTAGTATTTCTGCATGGGACTGTCTGGTGTAGAAGTAGTTTATACAAAGGCAGCCATACCAGAACATGTTTGTCATATTACTTGCTGCCTGTAGCAGCAGATTTTCAAGCTGAATTTTACCTTAAATCTGCCATATTTGGTGAAGTTTAAAAATAAGTGCCCTTATATAAATTACTAAAAAAAAACCACAACAGTGGGCCTAGGGCTTTCATAAAAGCAACTTCAGAATCACTGGTAATCAGATAGGATTTTGGTAACCATTCTCTGCTACGAGTTGTTTGAGCAGGATGAATCAACTAAGCAGGAGTAGTAAACAAATACTACAGTAAATTCAGCTTTATTGTTGCATTTTTCTCTTGCTTCAGCTATATGGCAGTCAAATATCAAATTTATTTTTCTTTAAATTAATTTAGATGGTGGAAATAAATGATGAGGCAGGAGTGCTTTAAGTATAAACTGTTTGGTCATCACAGAACTTAATTTCTGGAAAGGTAGTTTTACACCTTAGTAAATGTCATGGAACTGCAAACAGCATCTTAAATCACTATAGCGCAACTTGGCCGATTTTATTGAAAACCATTCCACAGTTATTTAAGGCTCCAAGTTTTCCTCGAGAGTTGAGTTTTGCAGATAAGTTGGTAGTAGTTAAGAGTTCTGCAAAAGCACAGGTACTCACAGCACAGTTGTTTTAAGAGCGCTCAGAAACTTTCAGTAGCTCACAGCACAGAGCAGTGAAGCACTGAAGGTAATGCAGTGGGTGAGGATCCTGAACTTACCCAGGCAAAGCTACATTATTTAATAGCAGCTTTCTGGTAAGACCCAATTATTAAAACACCTGGAGAAGCACCAGTGTACACTACTATGGGGGGGAACAGAGAAAACAAAGGATTAAGGTCACTCAGATTTTGCAAACGGAGCAGTAGCAAAACCAGCCAAAGCTGCATTTTGTCTGGGGTGAAACACCAACTTAGTAAATAGACTATGGATACATTTGGGTTAGTTTTAGATAAAAGCTGTTTGAATGTGTAAGTCATAGAAAAGAGGTTACTATTACTAGAAATTTACTGGAGAAAAAAAAAGTTTATTTTTAATTCTCAGCCCGTTAAGCTTCCAGCACAGTTCAGAGGGAAGATTATGTACATACTGACTCTAGATGGAAGGGCTTTGTCATTTTACGGAACACTAATTTATTGAGACTGTGATAGCTTGTAAAATACAAAAGCAGTAATTTTAAAAAGTCTAGAAACTAAGTAGGGATCTTTTGTTCCAATTTAGTCTAGTGTAGCTATTTAAGACTTGCAGAAATTCTGTGTGTTGAGTATGAGGCAACAGAAACTTCTTCAAACAGTCATCTCTTTTGCCTTATCATGCTAGAAATATTCAAGGTAGATACTGCCAAGGATATGACTGCTGGTAAGCAAGCCAGAGCAGTGTTAGGATTTTCTCAAAATTACAGGTGACTTACAGTAGTGCATGTGCTATTGAAAAATCCAATTAAATTAAAAAGCTTTCAATGTATTTCACTCTAGCAGCTGGGTAATTTTAAAATTGATAAAGACAGTTCCCATAATTGTATAAACAGGGTTTATTGTACATGTGGAGCTGAAGGAGGAAGAAGAAGGAAAGTATATTTTATATATATATATATATGTACAGTGAGCCATTTTCATTAATAATTTTATTCTGTCTTGCTTAATACTGGAAAGAGGGAATGTGTCTGGCACCAAAGAAATTTAAAATTGAAAAAAATTAAAAGCTTAAGTTCTGAAAATTATAAAAACCATGGTCTTATGGAAGGAAGTTAAAACATATATATACATGGCAATTTAAGTGGTTTATACACTGAGTGACACTGTTGCATTTGTCTTTTAAACCAACTTAGGAATTTTCTATTAATAGAACTGGCATTAAAACTATTTAAAAGCTAGAATATAAATAAAACTTGGGAGCGACTGCTCCAGGAACAGCCCAGTAAAGCAACTCACAGTAACTCAGTAGACATAACCAATAACACAGATCCCCTTGAGCATCAGGGAAGTAGGCACTAACTGGGAAATAGTCCAAGTTCTGGTGTTGCAGCTTCACTGATAGTCCATCTCCTGTTACTGCTGTGCCATACACAAAACCTTTTAAAATGTACCCCTGATTTCTCCAAAAGATGTAGAAACTGTTACGTTGTCTTTCTGAATCCCTTTAAAATAGGATAGATATTTTCAAATGCTTCATAGATTTCTGCTCGTACTTTAGCACCTAGGAAAAAAGAGGTATTAAGTTAGTTTAACTTTTTGCCAAATACTTAATTTTAGCTTTTAGAGCATTTATTTGAACGTGACTCTATAAAAATTTATTAATGATCATTAATCCCCATTTTTATTATTTTTCTAACACACACTGCATATAGAGCATACATTACCAACCTTCTCCCAATTTATTCTGGTATGTGGTAAAACTTCCATTAGCATCTTTGTGCTTATGTTGTACATGTGAGTGGGGTTTTTTCCATACATAATTTCCACAGGAGACTCCCGTTATATAGCACAGCCCTACAAGGTGTTTCTGCAGAAAGGCCTAACTGGTGGAGCTTCTTTTGGAGTGTGTGAACATCTTGGGGAGCAAGGTCTAGCCATGGACCACCCCTGCCCATCCTGCAGAGACATGCCTCTTTTCTCCATAAGACTCAAGTGTGAGGAGAAAAGGAAGGGTGCAGGTGGAGTGCCTGAGGAGGCCTTCAAGCTCAGCCATCTTCCCCTTCTCTGGCTGCTGTATCACAAAGGAGAATGGCAGCAGCCTCCAGCCAAGCTGTCAGAGGAACAATTTGTTCAGTCACACACACCCCAACACTCAAGACAAACTTTCTGATTTTGCCAGAAACATGACCTGGACCCTTATAGCTTTTTGAGCTTCATGATCACTGAGGATTCGTGATCATTGCTTATATGGATCCAGGCAAGCACACGGTTTGCTCTGTGCACGAGGTTGCACAGAATACTGACTGTACCACCTGCTCTTTCTCAGTACTGTCTTAGCTGTAAGGGGAAGCAACAAGCAAGTGACATGCTTCAAGTATCACTGTGTGTTCTCTGTAACACAGTCTAAACGTAACCTGTTGGAGTAAGATACCGTCTTCACTTACCAGTTAAAACCACTTTTCCAGAAACAAAAATAAGCAGAACAATTCTTGGCTTGATCATTCTGTAGATTAAGCCAGGAAACAATTCTGGCTCATAGCTGTAAAGGAAGAGTGACAGTGTTTATGCATGCTTGCAGACACATCTAACAGCCTTCCACCACCTGCAGGACTGCAGCAATGGGCAGAGCAGATGCAGAGCTCACTGAAACTTGGAGAGAATGGCAGGGAAGATCATTTTGATGGGTTCGTACAGGGCAACCTCAGTTCCACCTGAGGCAGAGCTGCGATGGGAACAAATCTGCAAGTTTCCTTCTGGTGCAAGGGGATAATCTAAATAGATGTCACTCTCTAAGGTAGTCAATATGCAGCAAAAATGAAACATTAATCAAGCCTTTTGTTACCTGCTGAACTGCTGGTGTGTGAGTACCAATCCTTCTAATCTGATGGGAAACTTCACATCACAACTGCCCACCATGTTCTGAATTTTAAAATCCAAAAATTTTGCAGGAAAACCCAGTTTCTGAACAACTCTTGCATACTTCCTTGCTGCCAGTCTCGATTGCTCTTCACTGAAGTGAAAAAAGGAAATCCATTTTATTTCCTCAGTTAAGTGTTACTTGAGGCAAACAGCATTAAACCACAAATATGTAGCTGGGAAAAAATGTCTACGTTGGGGCAGAGAAGGTCACATGCAAAATTTTTACATCCAAAATGAACAAATAGCACTAGTTTGCCTTCTAATTTTGGTACTAGGATATTGAACACCATGCACATTGTACTTGCTGTTCATGAGGCAGAAAACAATTATAAATCCACATACTTCACACTCTTAAAATACTGACCAGAATCACTCTAATGGGACATGAAAACCATTTACTTAAGTCTTCTGTGTAGAACAACTTTGAACTATTATTACTGCTGCTAGAAAATGCATATTTCTATCAAAAATTTGTAAACTGCCAAAATCCTCTGCTTGATTCAGCCCAGACATTCAAACCTTGATTTAACACAACTGCACAGCCTCACACACTGTTGCAGAACTCTGTCTGCTTCAGTTTTGTAAACAGCTGAGGACCTGGTTGCTCCTAAAGCAAGATAACTTCAGCTTTAAGCATCAGCAGGCAGAGAAAGCATATCCTGTACAGCTTTATTAATTCATCACTGCTCATTAGCTTATTCCTTCTGGATTCCTACCAGACTTCTTCAGATCAGGATTTCTCTCCTGCCCACTAAAATTAAGCTTATGCTTAGTTTTCAATTCTTATGCTTCAATGATTCTGTTAGGAAAAGACCAGACTACAGAGGCCAGAGACTTGGAGCTCTTGGCCTGTGATGAATTAGACTATTCAAATATAAAAATCACTCTTCCTCTGCTGCTGCCCTTACAGTTTAAGTAGTTCCAGTGCATAGTCATTGACACTTTTAAATCATTAGGAAAACAAAAAGGTAACTGCAAAACAAATGTGAATATAAAAATATCCCCAAACCAGTTTATCAGACTGTATCAAAAAGCTTCAGAAATAAAATTACCATTTCCCCTTTTGTAGGGAAGTTTCTTCCATCATGTAAAAACAATTTGCATAGAAATGTGTATTAATTTATTTGAAATAACTGAAAAGCAAGCTTATGTGTGCCTATACAATTTTGTTGTAAATATACAAATACTGTATACAAATAAACTTCTAAAGCAACATGGTGTGAGAGAAAAGACAGCCTGAATCAGCGTGCTTATAATGCCTAAACGTACCTTTTTGCTCCTGTGCACACCATTTTTCCAGAGCTGAATATAAGTGCAGTAGTGCGTGGTTCTCTTATTCTCATAATGACAGCAGCAAAACGCTGAAATGTGAGCATTGAGACCATTAGTGATATATTGCCATAATCATGACACTAAACCCAAATTTGCATCATCTAAGGAGCTAGTACCCTGTTATATAAGTGTACTATAGAGTGTACTACATATATGTACGTACATATATACTATATATATCATATTATACTACATATACATATGTACATACATACATTTATATATATGTAATAGTACACTATTGCAAAGAAATACTAAGTTCAAACATACTTATGGATCACTCAAGATTTACTTGAAATGCTTAAATTGTAAGTCGTTTCACACACTGAGAGGTAGAGTCAGACAGGAAAGAGATTATCCATCACATTCCTGTTTCATCACTGTATATGCAATGTACAAATAATGCTCACATTTGCAACACAGCAAGAGACATTCTTTAAACAAATGAATATATTTCCTCCACCTGTCTCGAAAACTTAATCTGTTATAAGCAGGATGGAAGACTATCTGCAAATATTTGATGATCGGGATTGCTTCAGTATCTTAAAAAATTGGACAGTGTTGGAATATCAGCAAACAGAACAGCTGGAGTTCAAAGTTCTGTGTAAATAGAATTCACCTTAGCTGCCAGAACACAGCAGACCAGTTAGCTCTAACTTTTCATCCTAAGTACATCTCTGCCTGCATTTCCAAATTTTTGAAGCAAGAGATACTGGAATTTGGTGTGGGCACACACACAAACCCCCTGTTTGCCTGTTATATTTAACTTGGACCAGCTCACCATGCAGTCCCATAAGCTGTTCTGCTGATATAACCAAGGCGGTAGTGTGGGTTACCCAACAGAACGTTTGTCAAACTATGGCTTAAATAATAGAGCCAAGCAACATCTTCCCCTGATATTTGGATGTACTGACTAAAAGTCAGGAATCTGTTATGTAACCCTTCTTTCTCTCCACTGTGGAAAACAGCATTTTGTATTGATTATTTCTAGCCTACAAGTTTTACACAGCCACCTACCCCTACCTTAAAGAGTTACCATGGCATGCTCAAATTTTTGCTGCACTAACAGCTTACTCACATGCAATTATGTAACAGCACCGTTGACATACACTCACAGTAACAGTTATTTATCCCATATGCCTGCAGGCACGCTTTAATCTTTGAGAGCAGAGTTCAGATAAACTGTAGCAAAACCCCAAATATTAGAGCAACCACAAAAAAATCCCCCCAAACACCCCAGGAAAACTGAAGCCTTCCCAACGTAAACGAATTCCACTACACACCATGTAGACTTTTATTAGAAACAGTGTCCAACTACCCTGGTTGCAAATGTAACATTTCCAAGAGGAGCTACCCCACTGAAAAATAAAACAATGTATTTGATTCAACGCTGCCGGTCCTCTGACGTTGTTCAGTTTTTCATGCTAAAAAGATCCCACAGTAACGGGCAAACCTCATAACTGTTGCTGTTCCACCAAACCTAGTCAGCGGGAACAAGGAGATGGTGGGAGTACCAGGGCACAACATGAAGGAATAGAGCTCTGAGAAAAATCAAGACTGTAAAAAAGGAGTGACTCTGCTGCAACCACAAGAATTCCAGAGTAGTAGCCAGGTGGAGGAAGCAATGGCATATACAGAACAACCAAGGCTCTGGCAGAATTCTTCCTTCCCTTTTTGTTGGGAGGTAGGGAACAAGACTTCATCATCAGACATGACACAGTTACATGAGAAAGGAACATTCCGAGCACTGGAGACAAACACACCCATATGAACAGCACTGGAGGCCAACTTTGCCATTGTTGATTAGGTTCTTCCTAAATATGCTGTGTTCTTTCTAAAGCTACCAAATTACAAGTGGTGTAGGACACAGCTGCATCGGAAGAAAAAATATTTTTACTAGTTTGACACAACATTCAAAGTTTATTAAATACTTTCTTATAAAACTACATCTACAGAAGAAAGGTTTTCCAATCCACTACAGCAAAGCACACACATCTGTTACAGGATGAACTCTTAACATATTTCTCTTACCTTGGGATTATATTCAGCATTTCGGGCACGAAGCGCAATCGTTTTTAGGTCAAGTTTGCAACCAAGATTCACCGTGGACACAATATTCCTGAAGACAGTTCAGAGAAATGCATTAAAAAGACAATAAAGAATTCACTTGTTTTCCTCATTTTTAACCATACTTGATTAATTTGGGGTTTTTTGTGTTCTAAATGTGCTTCTCCAAGTGAGTTCAAATAACATCTTTCCATCAGACAGGAGCACTGAGACATGTTTTGGCTCAGGAAACTCCTTTTTGTAGGGCAGCAGCTCCAAAGGCAAAACTGCTGACTCTGCCTTATCTGCCAGCTATTATGAAAAGTGTCTCACGAGAAGAAACTCTATTTCAGTCTGGCAGGAGAAATTCTTGATGCTGAGAGCCCCCACCACAATCAGGGAAGCTGCTGGAAACAGGAAAAAATGAGGCAGCAATATAGTACCACCTGAAATTTTCATTGGTATCCCCTTCAAGGACCATTCGCCAGGCGATAGGAAAGCAGGTCTCTAGAGAGTTTAAGAGAAGTTCCTAGGTGCAGAATTTCCCTGGAAACTTTTTTTCTGGGAAAACCCTGAACTCTCAAGGTCCTCAATGGAAGGCGGGGTGTGGGAGAAACAAAATATAAGGAACTATTCTTTCAGTGCAAAATTCACATTATCAACCATTTTTCTTTGGGCCTTCTGTAGATTGCTGTAAAAGTGTCTTTAATAACAACTAAAATTCCGTGAAAATACTTTCATACTTAGACCTGGTTATAGTGGTTTTTGTTTGTTTTTTTTTACTTCTCACAAACTCAGCTGTAGCCACCGGCTAGAAAAGGGAACATGAAATGCCAAGTACAGTTCAGCTCTAGCTCCTAGACTAGCAACTAATTTCTTCCCCTCTAGCCTTCTAATGCCCTTTTAGCTGTGATAGTTCCTGTGTTCTGCTTTAATACCTCACTACCAAAATTCCGTGCACAGTAAAGTGGAGCCGTTTGTTTTTCTGTGAACAGGTCACAAGTATCCAGTAAATTGCACATGAGAGAATGTTTCCACGTATACGTTATTTTGAAATACCAGCTTATCAACCAACAACCTTATGGCTAAAGCATGATGAACTCCTAGAGCACATGGAGTTAAACTTTAAAATTGTGCTCAATGAGGACATACCTAACATCCTTCACCAGTATGCTTAAAAGATATATGGCTAACAGATTGATAAGAAATTGTTTATATTACTAAGTGGTTTAGAAACAAAGATAAGCTATAAATAAAAGCATAAATTATTAATATTGCTAAAGGAGACCCATAAATTCTCAGGACCTCTGTTCCCACCAAAACGAAGTACCCAACTCCTGATGTAACTTTGGTCCTAAGCCTTTAAAGGGCTATCTGAGAAAGGACATGCTGCACTGACACATGGGACACTCACTGTAGCTGTGGCACTATCCCAGAGCTCTCAGATGCTGGTGTTGCAGGAGTTATTGGAGTCATGGGAGTCATTGGGGAGGGGTACAGAGGTGTGGTTCCTGGTAAAGGGGCTGTGGTAAGAGTCTGTGAGTGGAAGAGCTGGGGAGTTTGACCAGATGTTCCCTGTGTGGCTTGCTGTGATGTAGACTGCTGTGCTGCTTGTTGCTGCTGCTGTTGCCGCTGCTGTTCTTCTAGGATGGACAGACTGTTGGTGCTCTGGACAGGCTGGGGTGTCAGTCCTGTGCCATATGGCATCATTGGGCTAAAAATTGGAATTCCTGGAGTCATTGCACCCTACAGAAGAAAGCATGAAACAGAAACCACAGATCCTGTTGACTCAATTTTGGTTTTAAGAGAAAAAGCTTTCAGGAGTCTAAAAATAAATCAAGGTAAGTTAATCACATAAAACTGTCAGTAGCTCAAACCAGGACACAAGCCTGAGGCATATAGTAGTAACTTGGTAAAAACAGAAAGCCCTTGGAAATGCAATTCTTCTATAAAATAAAATATTGCCTCTAGGGATCTGTCAGCTCTAGCATTGCTCATCTCCAGCCACTGATGCCAACAGGCTTCTCACACTACCTTGCAAGAAACTCTTAACTTTGACCCACAATTTAAGTTGCAATCGTTTGATTAAAGACTGTGCTCATCATACCAAATGCATTCACAGCACAGCAACAGTCCATCCTGTGTAACTCACTTTAATGGGCAACCACCAAAATTAAATTAATATTTCCAGCTTGTCAGTCATGTTTCAACTTAAAGGACCCATGTATCTGCATGTTTCTTATACCTCTGGGTATAAAACCAGATGCTGTTAAACTTTGGCTTTATACTGATACTATTCTCTACCAAGCAGAATTTTTCAGATTTGCTAAGGAAAAAACTGAAGTTATGTTCAAGAAACGTAAAACACTTTGACAAAGAAATTCAGATTACAGTTGCAGATTAAACTATTTGTTTTTACCTGAGGGGAGGCTAAGCCCTGAGCATAGGGCGGCAAGCTGTTGTTCTGATCCATGATTCCAGTTATTTCTTCAGCGAAGCCAGAAGTATTTGTTTTAATTAATTTAAAATAACTTCAAATCCTAAAGGGCTTTTAACCCTTTAAAACATCCTCGCCAAACAGCTTTTTAAGCCAAGCTGATAGTGTTAGGAAAACATCAGCTCCAGAGAAATATATGTTATGAGTCTAAAGTACAAATCAAAGCCTGAAAAGAGAAAACATAGTGTCTTGAGAACAATATCTAAACGCAAGACCAAACTTATCAGCTGCTGAGTTAGGTGAGAGGCATCCATGTACAAATATACACAGGAACATTCACACCTGTGCACACACACACAAAGACACAATCCATAAAAAATACCTTTTTCTGGCACACTTACAGCACCTTTGCAATGTGCTTCTGCTGAAGTCCCTGGCAGGGGACCTGATGCACATGAGCAAGCTTCTGTCTAACCAAACCCTCCTGCACAAATAACTCAAACTGTTAATACTCAAAAGCTTTGCTTTAGCTAGAGAAGCATCATTTATTTATTTTTTTAATAGAATTTAATTCCACTGACTCCTAACTGACAGTCTCACTGACATATTGCTTCTAAGTTTCTTCCTTGCAGTTTTAAGGTTTGGGCTTTCAGTAATATTACTTTCCTATGGAAAAAGCATTGCTGGTCAAATCAGACCTATGAAACTGTCTTCCATTCACTTCCCTAAAATGAATCACTGACACATTTCAAACAACGATGACATGCACTTTATGAGAAAAATATAACTACATGAAAGCCAATTTCAGCTATAGTGATATGTGTTCAAGATTTACCTTTTTTTCTTTTAAACTGTATCTCATGTTGTGTTACAGAAATAAAGAACACAAGTGAAGAATTCAAACATTACACCTTGATATAAAATATTTTCCATTAATTTATAGCTTTCTGAATTATACACCTATTGCCCAGAAAAACTCAAGGTTATTTTGTGGCCAGAGACAGACCACCTCAAAATGTGAAGAAAGCCTATTCTTTTTTTTTTTCAGCTCAGAATTAGATAGTTATACTGCAGCTGAAAAGGCAGGCTTTTTTTTTCCTCCTCAGTACCATAAAACATAATACCGTGTTTACCCTCACTGAAGGCATCAGAGAATCCAGGTTTTACGACTGGGAGATGGGGGTAAATGAGAAGCCTAAACATTTACCCAGAAGAAACAAAGTCAACTCCTCGACAGCCCAGCTGCTTAGTCTAGATACCGGGCACGCCAGAGCCTGCAGTTCGGACACCACCTACGCAGAGCTCCATCATGCCAACCATCTAACCACGTCCTGCTCGCACCTGCAAACGCGGGGGAACGTTTTTGTCGAGGCAGCAGCGTTCGGAGACCCCCCGGCGCAGGCCCCGAGCCCCCTTTCAGGATCTCTTCCCCCGCTCCGGCACCAGGCGACCCCCGCACACCCTCCTCCGCGCCGCCCCGCCCGAAGGCCGCCCAGGGCAGCAGG